TATAAAACTTCTCTTGTCTGTTATTTCAATTCTTTTAATTCATTTTTCTTTTTTAAATTCGTTTTTTCTTTCTCTCTCTCTCTCTCTCTCTCTCTTTTATCTTTCATTTTTTTATTCCACCTATTTTTTCGATTTCCATTTCTAATTCGTTTTTTTTTTCTTTTTTTTTCGGACTTTTTATTTCACGTCAATTTCTCAATCGCCATTTATTTCGTTTTTTCTTTTTTTTTTATTTCTCGATCCCGTCTATTTCGTTTTTTTATTTTTTTATTTTTATTTCTCGATCCCGTCTATTCCGTTCTCTTCTTTTTTTTTTATTTCTCGATCTCGTTTATTTCGTTCTTTTTTTTTTTTTATTTCTCGATCCCGTTTATTTCATTTTTTTCTTTTTTTTTTTTTATTTCTCGATACCGTTTATTTCGGTTTTTTCTTTTCTTTTTTTTATTTCTCGATCCCGTTTTATTTCGTTTTTTTCTTTTCTTTCTTTTATTTCTCGATCTCGTTTATTTCGTTTTTTTCTTTTTCCTTCTCTATTTCTCGATCCCGTTTATTTCGTTTTCTCTTCCTCTCTTTTTATTTCTCGATCCCCGTTTATTTCGTTTTTTTATTTTTTTTTTTTTATTTCCCGATCCCACCTATTTCGTCTTCCTCCCCTTTTTTTTTATTTCTATCGTTATGGCTTTGGCTGCCCCCGCTGTAGCTCCATTCGAATGGACAGTCGACGCTGCAAGAGAATTAATTCGACTTCGACGCGATAATCATGACGATTTTGAGTTCGTTCCTAATAATCGCCATGAAAGGATATGGAGAACCATATCCAACCAATTGTTTCTTAATAGAGGGCACTGGATGTCGAGATATTTGAGAAAACGTGCCGAAAAGGTTCAAAAGAAGTTTTGGATAGAGATCTTTATTATTACTGCGCCACATACCACGGGAGAAATTCTTAAAAATATTTATTTAAAATTTTGTGATAATCATGTGAGGAATCGAACCCCATACACTGATGCTAATTGACTTATTTAAATCGAATCTGAGCACTGCTATAACTAAAACTCTATGTTCTAAATGAATAACCAATAGACGCATCATCTCCAGACTGCAACAGATGTTAGAACCAGTTTTAGCAAATATGTGATAAGCCTAGGACAACATGATCGAATAATAACCAGAATGTCAAAGAAAATAATCAAGATTCTGGAAATCTACAGTAATATTGTAATATTGTGAAAAGATAATAAGAAAATAAGAAAGCGTTAATAAATTGAGATTAATAATGTAAAATGAATATCATAGAAATTAATAGTAACTAGTCATGAAAATGAATATGAAAAGAGAAACTTATACTTCATTAGCACGAGAATGACAAAACCTCACACGAAATCCATATTCTACACTTCAATCGAGAAGTTATTGCATGATAAATCTGTATCTACCACGAACTATTCTAAAGTTTCTTATAATTCTTAAGTTTGTGCTTGAGAATTTGTTTGAAGAAGATTTCTTTCTCGTTAGAGTTGAAGGAAATCTTAATATAAGGTGTTATAAGCTTCTTGAAGATCTTAGAATCTATTTTCAATTTGAGACAACAAGAAAAGGAAAACATTAGTCTATGTGCAACTCGACTAAATGAACTAGTCTAATGAACTCAACCATTTCCAAAACGATAGTCGCAGTTCAGGAATAGTCCCAATACAATAATTGCAATTCAGGCATTTCAACAAATCCACCAGGTAGCTCACCTTCATTATGTATTTGTTCTCTTCTCTCTCTTGCATGTTCTCTTTGACGATTCGATCAACCCCTTCTTTGTATTTAATGACGTGTATGAGTCATGTTTTTGGAAATAATATAGTGACTGGAAAGAAAAATAAGAAAAATATCTACATTAATACAGCACTTATATTAACTCCATTCAATCTCTGGTCTTTCAGTCCTCAAAAAGTATCGGATGTATAGTATCTCCTCAATATTTTAGTAAACTCAAAACATTACAGTATTATTCGTTAAATCTTTAATGGATGGAATGTATTTTATCAAAAGAGAAACAAAAACTTACAAAAGGAAAATAATGCCGAACAGCTCATAGTAGAATTATCTATTATAAACAAAAGAAAGATATTGTGAAAGTTAGCAGGGAGTGACACACTCGCATTCCATGTCTAGGGAAGCAAATTTCTTTAAATGACTATTCCTTGAGCCTCGCTATGCTAACAATCTTGTAAACTGTATCATTAAAACTTTAGTAAACAGGAAGCGCAGTTTACCTAATTGAAATTCTCTATGATACTTCTGAAGTTTTAGTTCCTATTATATTTTGAAATAACAAAAGAAGACATTAATATTGCAATCAGAAATTTACTTTGAAAAGGAATTAGAGAAAGCCTTTCAGAAAGAAATGATGAAATCATCATAAGGGATAAGAGATTATAAAAAGAGAAAAAAAATACATTCAATTGTATTATTCCTGATGGAAATGGAAATCATAAGAAAAGTTAAACTCTTGACTTCTTTGTTGTAATTGATCAGTAGCATAAGCAAAATTTTAGCGAAGTCGATTAATTTCTTGTTGTAAATCTTGAACATATTGAATATCGGAATTATGTTCTAAATGTTTAACTTTCAATTGAAATCGTGAATATTGACCTTGAAGATTGGTATACTGGAATTGTAATTCTGTAAATTCAATATCTTGACGAGAAAGACAAGAAGAAAGAGTATCCAATTCATTTTGAAGACAGTTAATTTCAACTTGACTTCTTTCTTGCTGAGAACCTACAGTTAGGCAAAAGTGTTAGAATGCTGCAGTCAAACTAAGTAAGATCGAACAAACTGTCACATTTCACACCAGCTGACAGCACAAGTTGTATATAGTCTTAGCTCAGGTAAAACCCAGGCTAGCATGCGGTCTGTATAACCCAGTCTCCTAGATCTAGAACTATTCTTAGGCCCACCTGTCTTACCTTGATAAACTCTTTCACTTCTAAGTCTTCTGTAACGTTCTGAAGCTCTATGATGACTAGCAGGAGATTTCTTTTTGTTATTACGAGTCATAATAAAATTTTATGAGTTTAAAAATTAGCAATAATTCTGGTAGTATAAAAAAAAAAATTTTCTTTGAAAAAAAGGAAAAATTCAAAAGAGGATTTTTATATTTGAAAAATCAGCATGGAAAAAATTTAAACAACATAAGAAAATTCCTCTCCTGCAGAAAAAAATAAATAAAGGATATTGGTATCTATTGGTTGATGATAATCAACAAACAAAAAATTTGTAAAACATGACTAAATCTTGTTTATGGATCAATAAACATGATGATCAAAATAGAACAAATTGATTTGATTGGACAAAAATGATGTGATGATTTTAGAATCTACTCAAATGTAATTTCTAAGCTTAATTTAGTATCTGTATATTCAAAAGTACAAGGAGAAAATATTGCATGATTTTTTTTGAGAATGAGATATAATGCATAAAATTCTTAATATAGAAAAATATTTGCAACTATTTTACACAGCCTGCCTTGGAAAAGTTTAGT